ACAGGAGGTGGAGGTTGCAGTGAGCTGAGATTGCGCTATTGCACTCCAGCCTGGGCAACAAGAGTGAAACTCCATCCCCCCAAAAAAATAAAAATAAAATGGTGAATGAAGAAAGTAAACGTCTATGAAGTATGGAACAATGATGGTGCATTAGAGAAAAAGAGTTTCTCCTGCCCCCTTATGTCCCTCCCTTCCTTTTTTTTTTTTTTTTTTTTTTTTTGAGACGGAGTCTTGCTCTGTAGCCCGGGCTGGACTGCAGTGGCCGGATCTCAGCTCACTGCAAGCTCCGCCTCCCGGGTTTACGCCATTCTCCTGCCTCAGCCTCCAGAGTAGCTGGGACTACAGGCGCCCGCCACCTCGCCCGGCTAGTTTTTTGTATTTTTAGTAGAGACGGGGTTTCACCGTGTTAGCCAGGATGGTCTCGATCTCCTGACCTCGTGATCCGCCCGTCTCGGCCTCCCAAAGTGCTGGGATTACAGGCTTGAGCCACCGCGCCCGGCCCCCTCCCTTCTTTGGAAGCTGGAAAAGAAGCTGCCAGGGATGAACGCCTTTGCTTCTCCTCATCCTTGGAAACCATTAAAACTGCATCTGAATCTTTGCTGCACTCCTAGAGTATGGACTGGAAAATAGCCCAGAGGTGTCAAAATCCTGACTTTGATTCACAAGCATGCTTGAAAGAAAAGAGAAAGGAAGGAAGGAAGGAAAAGAGAAATTGTAGCTATGACCTAACCATAGCCAAAAAAATCTCTTTGACTTCCAGTGGTTTGGTGTTAATGGAAGCCTTTTATCTTCAGCACTTTGTGCTCGTGCTGCCAAGCGGAGGAAGGGAAAGTGCAGAAAGCTCTGTCTGCATAATCATGTGCTAGCTGGCCCTCCCCAAATCCAGAGCCACATGAAGGCTCACCCTCCTGGCTCTGGGAGCCCTAGGCTAGCTTGAGAAATCAGTGGGAAAATGTTCCTTCAGATGTCAAATCCACCTTCTCTCAGAAAAGGACAGATAAATAAAGCCGTAGGCAAGGACAGGCAGGCCCTTAGGTTGCTTATGCGAGCATTCTAAAAATCTCTTTATCAATGCTTAGCCTAGATTTCATAGACCAAATGCTAATATGTTTTGCCCTAAAACACAGTTTATAAAATTAAGAGATCCTTTTCCAGGGGACCTCAGCCTCATGGCCTCTGTATCTCTTGTTAGGACCACTTTCAAGGAGGAATAATTTACTCAAAAGTGCATTTTAGGCTGGGCATGATGGCTCATGCCTGTAATCCCAGCACTTTGGGAGGCTGAGGCAGGCAGATCACCTAAGGTCAGGAGTTCGAGACCAGCCTGACCAACATGGAGAAACCCCATCTCTATTAAAAAAAAAAAAAAAAAAAAAAACTAGGCCGGGCACGGTGGCTCACGCCTGTAATACCAGCACTTTGGGAGGACGAGGCAGGCAGATCTCAGGAGATGGAGACCATCCTGGCTAACATGGTGAAACTCCGTCTCTACTAAAAATACAAAAATTAGCCAGGTGTGGTGGCGTGTGCCTGTAGTCCCAGCTACTCGGGAGGCTGAGGCAGGAGAATGGCATAAACCCGGGAGGCAGAGCTTGCAGTGAGCCGAGATCGCGCCACAGCACTCCAGCCTGGGTGACACAGCGAGACTCCGTCTCAAAAAAAATAAATGAAAAATAAAAATAAATAAATAAATAAATAAATAAATTAGCTGGATGTGGTGGTGGATGTCTACAGTCCCAGCTACTCAGGAGGCTGAGGCAGGACAATCACTTGAACCCAGGAGGCGGAGGTTGCACTGAGCTGAGATCATGCCACTGCACACTAGTCTGGGCGACAGAGTGAGACGATCTCAAAAAAAAAAAAAAAAATGCATTTTATCCTGTGGTTCCCTCCAAATAATTACCTTTTCTCCCATTTTCTATAAGAATTATTTAAATAACCTTTTTATTTTGGAATACTAGATTTACAGAAACAATGCAAAGATAGTACAGAAAGTTCCATATACCCCTTGTTCATTTTCTCTTGTTAACATATTACTATGGTACATTTGATTCCATTTAAGAACTGACATTGTTTTGTTACTATTAACTAAACTTGGCACTTTGCTCAGATAGTTTTTCCCTAATGACCCTTTTTCTGTTCCAGATTCCATCCAGGATACCACATTACATTTACTCATCATGTCTGGTCAGATACTGTGTAAAATGTCCCTCAAATTTGGTTTTTCTGGTGTTTTCCTCACATGTAGATTGGGATTATGGGTTTTCAGAAAGAATACCTGAGAGCTGAAGCGCCCTTTTCATCGTGTCAGGGCAGATGACATACACATGGCATCAATGGTAAAGTTAACCTTCACTGCTTAGTTAAGGCAGAGTTTACCAGCTTTCTGCATTGTGAAGTTCCTGTTTCTCCCTTTCTGTAATCTATTCTTTGGAAGCAACTCTCACTAAGTCTAGCCTACCCTCAAAAAGGTAGAAAGGGAACTGGGAGGGAATTAAGCTCATTTCCTGGAAAAGGGAGTATTTACAGATGTTATTACTATTATTATTTTAAAATTCAGACAAGGTCTCGTTCTGTCACCCAGGCTGGAGTGCAGTGGCCCGATCTCAGCTCACTGCAACCTCCACCTCCCGGGCTCAAACAGTCCTCCTGCCTCAGCCTTCCAAGTAGCTGGGACTGCAGGCATGCATCACCCTGGCTATTTTTTTGTTTTAAGTAGAGAAGGGGTTTCACCATGTTGGCCAGGCTGATCTCCAACTCCTGAGCTCAAGCGATCCTCCTACCTCAGCCTTCCAAAGTGCCAGGATTACAGGCATGAGCCACCGTGCTCAGCGGGAGTATCTACATTTTTTTTTTTTTTTTTTTGAAACGGAGTCTCGCTCTGTTACCTAGGCTGGAATGCAGTGGTGCAATCGTGGCTCACTGCAACCTCCACCTCCCAGGTTCAAGTGATTCTTCTCTCTCAGCCTCCCGAGTAGCTGGGACTACAGGCATGCACCACCAGGCCTGGCTAATTTTTGTATTTTAGTAGAGATGGGGTTTCCCCATGTTAACCAGACTGGTCTCGAACTCCTGACCTCAGGTGATCTGCCCACCTTGGCCTCCCAAAGTGCTGGGATTACAGGCATGAACCACTGTGCCCAGCCAGACCTACATATATTAAATGGGATTATTCTGTCTGAAAAATTAGTTTCTTCTTCTCAACTAATTTTTATTCATTAATGGCCGGGTGCAGTGGCTCACACCTGTAATGCCAGCACTTTGGGAGGCCGAGGCAGGTGGATGGCTTTGAACTCAGGAGTTTGAGACCAGCCTGGGCAACATAGTGAGACCCCTGCCACTATTTTAAAAAGTACAAAAATTAGCCAGGCATTGGTGGCTTGCATCTGTAGTCCCAGCTACACAGGAGGCTGGAGAATCCCTTGAGCCCAGGAGGCTGAGGTTGCAGTGAGCTGAGATTGTGCCACCTGGGTGACAGAGTAAGACCCTGTCTCAAAAAATAAAATAAAATAGAATAATAATTTTTATTCATTAATGTATTTACATCAACCTGAACTCATATTTACAGTAGGACCATGCTATCCATGGATGGGTTCTGTACCATAGATTCAACCAACCATGAATCAAAAAAACATTAAAAAAAAAAAAAAAAACAGAAAATGAAAAATAACAATGTGACATTTAAAACTAATATGCATTTTTGCCGGGCGCGGTAGCTCACACCGGTAATCCCAGTACTTTGGAAGGTCAAGGCGGGCGGATCACCTGAGGTTGGGAGTTCAAGACAAGCCTGACCAACATGGAGAAACCCCATCTCTACTAAAAATAAAAAATTAGCTGGGCATGGTGGCGCATGCCTGTAATCCAAGCTATGTGAGGCTGAGGCAGGAGAATTGCTTGAACCTGGGAGGCGGAGGGTCCACTGCACCAAGATTGTGCCATTGCACTCCAGCCTGGGCAACAAGAGTGAAACTCCATCTCAAAAATAAATAAATAAATAAATAAAAACGAATATGCATTTTTACAACAACACAGTATAAATACTATTTACATAGCATTCACATTGTATTCGGTATTATAATTAATATATAGATGATTTAAGATATACAGGAGCATGTGCATAGGTTATATGCAAATACTACACTATTTCATTTCAAGGACTTTAGCATCCTTAGATTTGGTATTCCTGGGGGTCCTGGAACCAATCCCCAATGAATACCAAGGGACAACTATACTCATTTTATACTTTGGGTTATAATCCAATACTGTGTTGTTTATTTTGTTATTCATATTGTTCCAATTTTGACCATCAGGAGCTCTTCCAAGTTGGTCCTTTGACATGCACATCTCTTTGACATGCACACCTTATTATAAAATATTAAAAACATAGAAATGAAAGATAATCACTTATCTTTGGAGGCACTTTATTTTTAATGTTACATACATGAGGATGCACTCAGTGTCTCATGCTTGTAATCCCAGCACTTTGGGTAATCCCAGCACCCGGTTAATTTTGTATTTTTAGTAGAGATGGGATTTCTCCATGTTGGTCAGGCTGGTCTCGAACTCCCGACCTCAGGTGACCTATCCACCTTGACCTCCCAAACTGCTGGGATTATAGGCATGAGCCACCGCGCCCGGCCATATATATATACACACACACACACACACACATATATACACATATATACACACACACACATGCACACATACATATATATGCATATACACACACACATATATGTATATATAGAGAGATATATATATTTTTTGGATGGATTCTTGCTCTGTCACCCAGGCTGGAGTGCAGTGGCTCCATCTCCACTCACTGCAACCTCTGCCTCCCAGATTGCAGCAATTCTCTGCCTCAGCCTCCCAAGTAGTTAGGATTACAGGCACCCGCCACCACGCCTCGCTAATTTTTGTATTTTTAGTAGAGATGGGGTTTCACCATGTTGGCCAGGCTGATCTCGAACTCCTGACCTCATGATCCACCCGCCTTGGCCTCCCAAAGTGCTGGGATTGCAGGCGTGAGCCACTGCGCCCGGCCCACTTACCAATATATTGTTAGATCTTTCCCATGTCACTATATACATTTTTTTTCAAATGCAAACAGTCTTTATTATGAGAAAGCAGTGTTATCTAGAAAAGTCACACACCAGTTTCTTTCTAATACAATGACAAAGCAGGTTTCTTAAATAATTTACAGAGAGCAGAAATTGCTCTTGAATAGGGCTACCCCTCCCAGCACACCCACAGTGCTCTGCATTGAACATATACAGAGGTACCAGTGAGTCCACGGTCTTAAGCCCGGAAATATCTCCTATGCCTTCCTCCGAGTCCCTGGTAGGGAAAGTAGGGATGAGAGTGGGACCCCCAAGAGCCTTGGCACTGGAAACACAGCGGGTGAGTGACTCTGCAGATGACTCCCCCAAAACCAGGCACCTGGGTGCACAGCTAAGAGCTCTGTAACATCTGATGCTAGCACTTCACTAGTTATAGATGAGTCAAATACAAGGCTCAAGGTCAAGTGTACGATGAGTTGTACGATGAGTTTCTAAGCTCAAGAGTCCCCTGAGAAATTCTCCCCATCTCTGCAAGGTCTTCCCAAGACACGCTAAGGCTGTGGCAGGCAGTCACTGATGTATCCAGATGTGGCCGGAGCAGGGGGGGCTCTGGACCCCTTGTTAGTCAGGTCCTTGTTAGCAGTGGCCCAGGGGTACTGACAACTCCTGGGGGCTTCCTCCAGGAAGCTCATGGGGAAGCACAGACACCTTGGGTATGAAGCCCTGGCGATCAGACAGGGCTTGTTTCCTGCAGGCCACTTCCTCAGCTATGAATGAGAGAGAGGATGTCAGCACCACTCTCTTCCGCCATAATGGCTTCATCTAGCTTTTGGGACAGCTTCTAGAAATGCTGAATTCCTGCCCCCATAGGCTCTAGGTCACTGTCAGACTGGCTGGGAGAGCAGAGGGGCTATGCTGAGGAGTAGGGGCTCCAGAAGGCAGCCTCCCACGTCCACCGCCGTAATGGGTAGGCATGGGAGCCTATCTGGGCAGAGAGGTCATGATGCTCCTTTTCCCAGAGGTCTGTGGCTCATGGGCAGGGGCGTCTCCAGACAGCCGGGTGCTCTTCTGGCTCAGGCTGTGAGTTGGGGATCCACTGCCCTTCTGTGCCCCTCTCTTCCTCCTCCTGGGCTTCACTTGGATCTCCACCAGCCATTTGGTGCCACTTTGGCAGGACTCCTGGATTCTCTGGGACATGGCACCCAAGGCACTCTTAGCTGAGTGAGCTATAGCCTGGAAGCCCTGCTACCCTGGCTCTGGGGTTTCCAGGCATTTCCAGGAAAGGCCTGCACAGAAGTTGAGGTTGATGGCTCTCGGGTCAGCCTCCTTTGGAACTGTCTGCACAGACACCCCAGGGCCCACGTGGAGTTATCCTGATGGCTGGCTGGCCACAGGCTGCAGCTCCTTGCTGTCCTCCAGCTGCTCCTGGTGCTGGAGAGATCTCCAGTGCATAGAGGTCCCCATTCTCTGCCACCGAGAAGCCATCTGCCTGGCCAAGAGTGTTCTCTGCCCACTAGACCCCAACACGACCAATGCCAGTCACAACCCAAGCACAGCTGCTCCTCAACCACTGCCCACTATATACATTTAATGGATATTTAACTCCCTTTCTACTGTTTTTTTGTGATTATAAACATCCTTGTATATATTTAAATCATTACTTTGTGCCATAGCAACTAAACCAAGCTTGTTTCCAGACTGCAAATTCCAGCTTCCTAAGTCTTTACTGAAATAATTCAGCATGATTTTTAAATGCACTTACAGTGCTGACCTTATCGCCTGCATCATGGTAAAAACCAAAGCAGCTGAAGAATGATTCCTGCTTATGATGTAAAAATGGAGGCAGAAGACATAAATCTAAGGCAATATATAATTTAATATGACAAAATTATGATATAGAGGGTATGTAATTGCTGAAGGAATTCCAAAGAAAGAAAAATAAATTCTGACTTAGCTAATGTTGGTGTCACATGATCAGTTTATATGTGGCACAGACTGTTGGTGCTCACCAGTGATTGTATTCTTTTCTTCTTCCTGGCCTACAACCAGAGTCCCTCTTCCAGCCTCCAGTGCAGTTAGGTGGGACCATGTGACTGTGCTGGCCTGTGGAATGTGAGCAAGAGTGGTGGGCACCACTTCTAGGTCCATAAAAACCTCTCAAGCACAATCCTCACTCTTTGGCCATCCCTTCTCTTGCTGAATGGAGATGACAAAGAAAGGGACAAAGAAAAGGGTGGAACCACAAGATGGAAAAAGCCTTTGTCCTTGAGTAATCATATGGAGCAAGACCCCTTCCCTTATGCTACCTCCTTCTCCCACCATCCCCTCTCTCTCCCTTCTTACTTCTTTCCCTCTCTCTTCCTTCCACTCCCCATACCCTTCCAGCAACCCACATTGGACTGTGAACAAGAGAAATAAACTTTTATTATGTTAAACTACTGGAATCGCAGGGTTTATTTATTACAGAAGCTGGAATTATTTAACCTATCTAACATACAATGGAATCGACCTATGGGGGGTTTATTTACCTGAAATGTCCTTCTTCTTGAGAACATTTCCCCTTCTTCAAAAATGGAAGTGGGTCTGTATAATGAAGAATTACCTTAACCCTGGCCAGGAGCAATATGGCTCATGCCTATAATCCCAACACTCTGGGAGACCAAGGCAGGTGGATCACTTGAGGTCAGGAGTTCGAGACCAGCTTGGCAAACATGGAGAACCCCGTCTTTACTAAAAATACAAACAAATTTGCTGGGTGTGGTGGTGCACCCCTGTAATCCCAGCTACTTGGGAGGCTGAGGCAGGAGAATCATTTGAACCAAGGAGGCAGAGGTTGCAGCGACCCAAGATCACACCACCGCACTCCAGCCTGGGCGACAGAGCGAGACTCTAGCACAAAACCACCCAAAGAGAGGCCTGGCCTTTGCCCTCGGCTAGAGGAGAGATGACCTCCAGGCCCCAGAAATGTCCTTTGTGATAGGAGTGTCTGTTTGCTTGGCGTTCTGGCTAGTGGGCAGTCTAACAATGGGATTTAGGCTCTGGGTCATGCTGTTTCAGTTCTAACCTCTGGAGGAACTGGAGGCTAAAGGTACTAACATGACTCTGGGAGAGGAGTATACTCAAGGGCAGCCACAAAAGCAGTGTGTGATCGAGCCCCAGTAAAAACTCTGCAGACCTCAGACTCAGGCTCCAGTGAACTTCCTTGGTTGGTAATGCATGTGTGTATTGTCACACATCGTGACCAGGAGGAGATAACGCTGTCCATGACTCCACAGGCAGAAGATGACCAAAGTACTACACGTGAACCTCTCCTGGACTCTGCGCTATGTGTCTCTTCCTTTGGCTGATTTTAATTTCCATCCTTTCTCTATAATAAATAGTAACTGGGAGTATAACAGTTTTCAATGACTTCTGTGAGTCTTTCTAGAGAATTGTCAAACCTGGGGTGTTTTGAGGAAACCCCTGAACTTGCAGCTGGTGTCAGAAGTAGGGGTAATCTTGTAGGGACTGTTCCCTCCAACCTCACAGTTTGGCTAACCCTGAGTACAGCCCTATAGTTAAATTTACATTATGTGAACTGTCTGCCTTGGCTGTGGCTAACTGGACTAGATAATGGGTAAACACTCGACTCAAGACAAATCAATAGGCCGGGCGCGGTGGCTCACGCCTGTAATCCCAGCACTTTGGGAGGCTGAGGCGGGCGGATCACGAGGTCAGGAGATTGAGACTATCCTGGCTAACACAGTGAAACCCCGTCTCTACTAAAAATACAAAAACAAAAAAAAATTAGCTGGGCATAGTGGCCAGTGTCTGTAGTCCCAGCTACTTGGGAGGCTGAGGCAGGAGAATGGCGTGAACCCGGGAGGCAGAGCTTGCAGTGAGCCGAAATCACACCACTGCATTCCAGCCTGGGCAACAGAGCGAGACTCTGTCTCAAAAAAAAAAAAAAAGACGAACCAATAAGTATCTTCTGGACATTTGGACTAATGGATCTAATATGTTTCTATTAAGTGCTTGAACCAAAATGTCATGAAACTTAAAATATATCTGTGGCCCTTTCTCACTAAGAGCATAGAGAGGGCTGGGCACAGTTGCTCATGTCTGTAATCCCTGCACTGGGAGGCCAAGGCAGGCAGATCACCTGAGGTCAGGAGTTCAAGAGCAGCCTGGCCAACATGGTGAAATGCCGTCTCTACTAAAAATACAAAAAATTAGCTAGGCATGGTGGCATACGCCTGTAATCCCAGCTACTCGGGAGGCTGAGGCCGGAGAATTGCTTGAACGCAGGAGGCAGAGATTGCAGTGAGCAGGGATTGCGCCATTGCACTCCAACCTGGGCAACAAGAGTGAAACTCTATCTCTAAAACAAAAATAAATAAAGGAGCACAGAGAGGCAGAGGAAGCTACAAAAATAGAAGGAAAGTGAACAAACGGGAGACCACATGGTTCCAGAGAGACACAGAGATGGCATGGACTAAGTGGCTGTCATGATTCTTGATACCTTTCTAGTTTCTGGTTCCAGTTCCTTCTGAGCCCTGACTACTTCCTATCCCTGTATCTTTATAATAAATTACCTCCTAGGAATGTCTCTCCTGCTTGCAGTGAAAAAAGCCAGCTGGGCACTATGGGTCAAGACCAGCCTAGGCAACAGAGTGAGACCTTGACTCTACAAAAAATTTAAAAATTAGGCAAGCGTGGTGGTACACACCTGTAGTCTCATCTACTGAGGAGGCTGAGGTGGGAGTATCGATTGGAGCCCAGCAGATGGAGGTGGTAGTGAGCTATGAACGCAGCACTGCACTCCAGCCTGGGCAAGAGTGAGATCCTGTCTCAAAAAAAAAAACAAAAAATGAAAGAAAATAGCCTGAATTAAGATTATATATAAATTTTTTGAGACAGAGTCTCACTCTATTGCCTAGGCTGGAGTAAGGTGGCACAATCTTGGCTCACTGCAATCTCTGCCTCCTGGACTCAAGCAATCCTCCTGCCTCAGCCACCTGAGTAGCTGGGATTACAAGTGCCCGCCACCACGCCCAGCTAATTTTTGTATTTTTAGTAAAGGTGAGGTTTCACCATGTTGGCCAGGCTGGTCTCGAACTCCTGACCTCAAGTGATCCACCTGCCTTGGCCTCCCAAAGTGCTGGGATTACAGGCATGAGTCAACACACCCAGCCAAGATGCTACATATTTTCAAAGTGCTTTGCATATAATATGAGGCAATAAAGTATACAGGGGAAAAGTGCCAAATCTGTGCTCTAGACCTGCTCAGCCACTTTCATGTTCTTAAGCCTTTGACACCTCTCTGGGCCTCAGTTTTTTTTTTCTTCTTTCCTTTTCTTCCTTTTCTTGAAATGGATCTCACTCTGTTGCCCAGGCTGGCATGCAGTGGCACACTCATAGCTCACTACAGCTTTGAACTCCTGGGCTCAAGGGATCATCATCACATCTCAGCCTCCTGAGTAGCTGGGACTACAGGTGGGTGCCACCACGCTGGTTGGGACTTAGTTTCATTATCTGTAAAATGCAGGGTGGTCCTAGATGGTATCTAAAGGCAGTTACACTTCTAATTTTCTTTAGTTAAATTTCATGTGATTCTCACTCTAACCACATGAAGTCAGCAGAACAAATATTATCTCTCTTTCACAGATCTGCTAATTGAGTCCTCAGAGATAAGTCTGAACCCAAGGGAAATGAGATCTAAAAGCATCCCATGGGCAAGGATGGAGTGGTGGAGCAGTGTAGAAGAATGCGGGGCTTTAAACATTCATTCTTTCTGAAAAATAAAGGGAAACTCAAATGAGAGATCCTACCTTGCAAAAAATGTATCTTTCTCTAAACCTACTATACACACAATGACTTCAGCACTATTTTTATCAGACAAAATCATACCAGTGTGAGCCAAGAAGTCCTAAAAGGAATAATAACTCATACATAGGCAGTTGCAGCCAGAATTATCCTAATCTAGGGATAATTCTGTCCAATAAAGTTAAAGGATTGCCTCGAAGTTCCAGAGCATGTTAACAGTAGAGCTAGACAGAAACCCAGCCTTCTATCCCCAGGACTGGGCACCCTACAATGTTAAAAGGCTGCAGGGGTAAGGCCACAGTTGAGGACATCTCAATTTTCCCTTGGTAGCTATTCATGACTGATGCAAAGCCCTAGAGTCATTATAAGCTTTGCCACACAACTCTGCCATATAATACATTTTTTACAAAGGCAAGCAACCTCTTTGAAGTTCTTTCTTCTTCCCTCTCTCCCTCCTTTTTCTTTCTTTCTTTCTCTCTTTCTTTCTTTTTTCTTTCTTTCCTTTCTTCTTTTCTTTCTTTCCTTCTTTCTTTCTCTCTCTCTTTCTTTCTTTCTTCTTTCCTTTCTTCTTTTCTTTCTTTCCTTCTTTCTCTTTCTTTCACGCCCTCTCTCTCTTTCTTTCTTTCTTCTTCCTCTTTCTTTTTTTGTTTTTTGAGACGGAGTCTCGCTCTGTTGCCCAGGTTGGAGTGCAGTGGTGCGATCTTGGCTCACTGCAACCTCTGCCTCCCAGATCCAAGTGATTCTCCTGCCTCGGTCTCCCAAGTAGCTGGGATTACAGGCGCCCACCACCATGCCCACCTAACTTTTTGTATTTTTTAGTAGAAACAGGGTTTCGCCGTGTTGGTCAGGCTGGTCTTGAACTCTTGACCTCAGGTGATCTACCCGCCTCGGCCTCCGAATGTGATTACAGACATGACCCACCACACGCCTGGCCTCTTTCTTTCTCTCTTTCTTTCTCTCTCTCTCTCTCTCTCTCTCTCTTTCTTTCTTTCTTTCTTTCTTTTCCTTTTCCTTTTCTTTTCTTTTTATTTCTTTCCTTTCTTTCCTTTTCTTTCTTTCAACAGTGTCTTGCTCTGTCACCCAGGCTGGAGTGCAGTGGCACCATCGCAGCTCACTGCAGCCTCAACCTCCCAGGCGCAAGCTGTCCTCCCACCTCAGTCACCCGAGTAGCTGGGCTAATTTTTGTATTTTTTTGTAGAGATAGGGTCTTACTATGTTGCCTAGGCTGGTCTCAAACTTCTGGCCTCAAGTAATCCTCCCACCTCAGCTTCCCAGA